CACGTGCTTTGAAAGCTTCCGGGTCATGACGTCACCCGCCTCTGACGTCTCGCCCAGCGATTCGACTGATTACACATATGATTCAGAGCTTGGTATTCCCCTAGAGTTTTCCGACGCAGCGTCTCGTTCCCTCGGTGAACCATGGTTACATACGTAACCTGGGACGTTTCATTCCAGCTTAAAAATGATCACAGTTTGTTTCTTGCAAAGGCATTATTCAGATTTCAGATCCATTTCAGGGGTGGTGAAACTTCATCTACATAACATTTAAAATTAAAAAATGTTGCTGCTTATTAAACTAGATATATAACCAACATATATTTACAAAGCTGAAACTTGAAAGTTTACTGTTCAATAAATATTTAGACTGTTATGAAAATGGAGATATATAAGATCAAGAATAAAAACAAAAATAATATTAGGAATATATATTTTAAATGTGGCTGATGTGAATGATTTTAGAAACACAATGAAGCTGAATCTGAAGGTTGCCCATGCTTCATTTCAAATCTGCGGATGTTATCTCTAAAACTATGCACTTTATTAAACATTTTCTTAGACTATGTCATGCGTGTTTTTAGAGAAGGCTAATTCTTTGAAAGTTTGTAACGTCAGTGACACATTGAAATGTGTTAACCAGAGCTGCTAGTAAAGTATGCATTATGGAAAAAGGAAATATGATATAGATGATAAAGAATATATGTTGTGTATGTTTAGGTGTGACAATTTAATCAAGTGTTAAATTCATAAAGCTGTTCATAAATCATGAAGCTTTCCAGCTAAAATCATTAGCGACTGCCATTATAACCAACTGTAAGTAATATGTGCATGTTTGTTTGCTAAATTGAGCAGTATGAATCTAATATTGGAGCCTCTGGGGTTTTTGTATCTGCTTTTTTGCTGGTCACAAAGTACAGTTATCATCACAAATACGGTCAAGGTGGGTCTAGATGACAAAGTAAACTGGAAGTTCCACCACATTCAATTTGTACAGCCGCAAAGCAGTTTCAGCGCAGTTCTTTATCATGCTCAGAGTATTGTTGCCCTGAAAAGTTTTCATGAAAACAAATGGTACGTAATTGGGTCATTCATAAGGGCTATTCCCAGGGTGTTGGCAAGGGATGAGAGATGGTCCATGTACAAATCCCTCTTTATGGTGAAACTCTCTGGTGGCTTGGGGCAAAATCTCCCATTGCAAACCCCCTCCCTTTTTGTGTACACAATGGATTGCATTAAGCTTGTACAGTAAAAAACATCATCAATGTCCCCTTTATGCACCAGCATGGAAATCAGATCATGTGATCAACTGCATGAAGCAAAATTACTGCTGTGAGGATTATACTAAACTAGTTACCACCAAAAAAAGGATAAAGATAATAAATTAAGTAAGGAAGCCATGTTGAACTTTTGTACCGAGCCTTTAAACTAGCTCCCCCCGATTACCACAGGTAATACCACGTCCTTGTAGACCTGAAGATGTAGCCCCCTTCTCTTCCTTGAATACCTGCAGGATTTACGTCCCCTAATCTCCCATGATTAGCCTTTGCCACTGGGTCCAGGTCATTAATCCCGTCCCCTACAGTGAGTGACAATAATCTCTGCTCACTGGGCAGGGGAGCCGGCTCCATTTGTCACTCTGTCACCCATTGGCTCTCACATGGGAGAGGACAAGGACCATTTATCTATAGAATGTGCTGCAGAAACTGCAGGGCTGGCAAATTAAAAAAAACTAGTTTTTTTTCAAACTAAGGCTGCAAAGTCTTTGTGATCAATGCCGATCATCAATGAGAACTTCTTGTATTTTTGTGTGATACACTTTGGTCAAGTGTTTTAAGTATTGTGCCATTAGCATCTCCAAACAGAACAGCAAAAATAATGACTGTTTTCAAACAGGTTTCTGTACATTTCATTGGTCGAACAAACAGATACCACCCCAACCTGGCCACATAGACAGGGTCATCAAACCATTTAAACACTGAGGACAGGGGCGGATTGGCCATCTGGCAATTCTGGCAAATGCCAGAGGGGCCGGACCATTTTGTTTAATGTGGGCCGGTCAGATTTTTTCTAAATATATATAAATAAAATTGTTTTTACGGGCCAACAGCGCATAGGACAGATTTTTATCGCTTGCACGATTTCTCTATGGTTATAATAATAATAATATTAATAATAAATAAATGTTAAGCATCTTGCCCAGTCGGCCACGGCCGGCTGCCTGGTCCCGAGATGGGCCGACCGAACCGTTCAGTCAAAATCAAGCACGTCAAACAGCGCATTGTTTGCACAGTAAATATGAACATGGATTGACACGAAAATGTAGTAATTACACCATAAATGCATATTATTAAAGTCTACTGTGTTTCACAGTCTACATATGGCTTTTTGGCTATGTTTAAAGGGAAAGAGCACTTTTAGATAAACAAGGCAATTATAGATGGCACTCGTGGAGGTAGGAAAACAAAGTTCTTTATGAACCGTAGGATTGGTTGTAATAAAGATCTAAATGCAAAAGAAAAGGCAGTAGAGCTGTCTATTTCTGTCAATGGTAAGTTTGTGATAACGTAAGAAAAGTAGTTTAAATGTTTTGCCAATTGCTTGAGCAACGTAATATATATATCTAGAAGTAAATGCAAAAGTAAAAAGCATTACATAAGGTGTTGCTTATATTTATTGTGCTTAAACATGTCTGTGAAAGATTATATTACTGTACTGTGTAAAAAAAGAATCACAATGGATCGGCCTCAAAAATCCTGATCGGAGCACCCCTAGTAACAATGGTAACCAGGGTTGGGTTTTTTCCAGCTGTGAGTGGGTGGGATATTGTATCTACACCACTGATCTATAATAGATTTATATAGATTTACATTTATTTAGATCATTGATCTATGCACTGCTGCAGGGATGATGTATTGTTATAGGCCAAAACCCAGAAACAAGTTATTATTTGAGCACTTCCAGTTTCTATTATGTTAAAGTGAATGTATTTTTTTTTTAATGGGTCTTTGGTTGAGCCAAGCTCAAGATATTTTCATGTTTATTCTACAACATGAAATGCATTAATAATACCCTCTTGTGATCTTCTTTTTAAAGCAATTACTTGTCTTGAAAATGGGAATACAGAGTTCACTTTCAGTCGGTCACATTCAACGTTACGTCAGAATAGACTGACGAATGGGGTCTCGCCCGAGAGCCCAATCACCTTCGAGTGGTTACAGAACGAGCCAATGGTACGCTCAGTACCTTGGTCTGCGGAATTTGTATCACGAGCTCCGCCCCGCTGTGTGGGTATATAAGGAGCAGCGTGAGCAAGTCGCATTCAAGCTTTAGCTTCGGAGCCGAGCACATCTCTCTGCTTGTATCACCAGAGTGACGAAGGTCACTGCGCGCTCCTTGGGTCAGGTGCTGTCCACTTTGGTGGTCCAGGAGCACCACCTATGGCTGAACCTGGCAGACATGAGGGAGTCTGATCGGACTCAACTCCCCGTTCTCTCAAGCTGGCCTCTTGGCCTCTTCGGCAACGTTGTTGAGAGTTTTGCCCAGCAATTCTCTGCCGCCCAGAAGCAGTCTGAGGCCATAAAACATATTCTGCCCCGGCGGCCCGCTGCTGCCTCCACACTGCCGCCGGCTCAGCCACCTCAGGCTGCTCGTCACCGAGGGCGCCCCCCTGCGGTCTCCTCCACTCCCGCTCGGCCACAGCAAGCAGCCTCCACCCAGCCGCAGCAAGGAGATGGCAGCAGGAGGGTGGCGCAGCCCTCTGCCAAGCGTCAGGCCAAGTGGCGTCCCTGAGACGGGCTACCCGGAGATGGGGAAATCAGCTCTTCAGGAGATGGTAGCAGGACCACTCCTTCCCCTGGAGGAGGGCCGGGGGAGAATCCTTTGTTTTCGTTCTCTTTCTGTTCCACCACTGGCCCCACGGCCAGTTCATTTCAGAGGCTCCTGGGGCATATGGCATCTGCAGCGGCGGTCATACCGCGTGACCATCACTCCGGCCTGCCGCCGAACCTTCACCCCATGGTTGGACCCCTCGTTTCTATGGGCTGGTGTTCCCCTAGGACCAGTGTCCAGGTATGTTGTTGTGTCAACAGATGCCTCTGCCACGG